CATTTGCCTTTTTTGCAGCCACATTGCACTGCTGGCTCATATTCAAAGACAAAAGGCCACCATATTTGAAAAGGTTGGAAACAATGGGTCAAGAATGAATATGGAAATACTGACTAACAGAATTTTTCCACACACACATTTGAATCATCTGACACACATTGTGCTAGTTCAGAAATACCATCAAGGTTCTAAGGTATGGTTCCACGTGGCCATGTCAAGCTCTAATGGATGGCAAGAGTGCATGTCTCTGCCCCATGGAGAGAAGCAGAGCACTTGAGTCAAAACTCAGCCCACATTCTGCAAGTGTGTTGCGCCTCTCTCCTGTGTGGGCTTGTCTGTGGTTTATCAAAGTAGAGCTGTCACAAAACCCCTTGTCACAATAGAGGTGTTTATAGGGCCAATTGCCTATGTGGAGTCTGGGGTGGATAACCAGCTGTGACATTTTGGTCACCCCAAAATGTTTCTCTCCTGTGTGAGTCCGATGGTGGTTTACATACGCAGAGCTCAGAACAAACCCCTTCCCCCACACATCACACTTATAAGGTTTTATTTTCCTGTGTGGCTTCGTGGGCGAATAACGAGACACGACCTGTCCATGAACCCCTTGCCACAGACTTCACATCTGGAAGGCCGTTCTCCAGTGTGACGTCTTTGATGTGTTACCAGGTGATTGCTGAGGCTGAAGCTTTTCCCACACTCCAAGTACGGATGGAGCTCCTCGCTGGTATGTATCCAATGGTGTTTCCTCAATTAAACTCTTGGCACAATCAAGGTATTTGTGGGGACGCTCCCCAATGTGGATTCTCTGGTGCTGAATGAAATGTGAACTTTTGCCAGTACTTTTCTGACACATGGATTTGGCTCGTACGTGATACCTCTGGTGCTGAAACAGATTGGATGCTTTGCTGAAGTTGATCCCATATGGCAGTGGTCCCCAACCTTGGGCCTCCAGATGTTCTTGGATTTCAACTCCCAGAAATCCTGGCCAGCAGAGGTGGTGGTGAAGGCTTCTGGGAGTTGTAGTCCAAGAACATCTGGAGGGCCAAGGTTGGGGACCACTTCCATATGGGACATACTTGTAGGGTTTTCCCCCATGTGGATTCCTTCGTGCTTCATAAGTTTAGAGTCCAAGCTGAATGTTTTGCCACCAACTGAGCAGTTATGGGCCACCCTGTTAGCTCCCCAGTACTATCAATGAGATTGGTCATCTCTGTCAGGTGAGTCCTCTGATGTACCTGCAGCCTTGCACTCTCATCAAAGCTCTTCCCACATCTAGGGCATTTGTAGGGCTTCTTGCCTGTGTGGATTCAATGGTGCCTAAGCAAGATTGTGCTGTGGTTGAAGGTCTTTCCACAATAAGGAGACTTGTAAGTTTCTTTTTTTTCCCATGTGGACACTCTTGTGTTCAGCAAGGTTCTTGTTCCACGTCAACCTTTTATCACACCAGGAACATTTGTAGGGTTTCTCGCCAGTGTGGATCTTTTCATGTTGGATGAGGCTAGTAGTCTTTCTGAAGCTTGTTTTGCAGAGACTGAGATAGATAGATAGAGAGACAGAGAGAGAGAGAGAGAGAGAACACTAGTAGAGGGCTGTCTCATCCAAAAGATCTCCTGTAGAAAGAGAAGCCTATGTTATTTCATCTGAACTTTGGATAATCAGATCCTTTTCCTGCTCCATCCCAGGAGGTGGAAAATAAGAAAATTTGGGTTGGAAAGTGTCATTGCATAAGCTTTATAAAAATGCTATCCACTTATGCAAGTTTTATTTATTTGCTCCATCCATCCATCCATCCATCCCTCCCTCCCTCCGTCCATCCGTCCGTCCATCTGTCTGTCCCATCTAACTAGTAGCTAGGCTACTTTCCTTCAAGACGCTTATGGTGGTGTTAACTAGATATCCCCCCTATTCCCTCTTTCCTACAACATGCTATTCAACACTTACATAAAATTATTGGGCGAGGTCCTCATGGAATTCAGAATGTACTGTGCTTGGTGTCATCAGTATGAGCATTCCTTTTGCATCAGACCACATAAGGTCCTGGAGTGTAATCGTAATGAATTTAATAAACTGTCTGAAGCTCTTCAACATAGGCAGCACACTCCAAACTATGGGATTTGTGAGAAACAAAAGAGCAATAGGATCTATGGGCTTAAGAATACTGGGCCATTAAACCTTAAGGCTTACCTTAATTTTTTTTGTTACAAATAAGTCATAGTTTCTCAGTATGCTTTATTTGTGGGACCCTAGCGTATTCCTTTTCTTAGCTACGGCTTCTTGAAATTGCTTTGGTTATCACACCTACAGTATCACTAGAGAAGCTGGTTAGAGATGAATAACATATTTTGTTAATCATTTCAAAGCACCTACTGTTTGTGAAACTTGCTGCTTTTTTAAAAAAGTGCTTCTCAGGTGTGAACTACCCCCCCTCCTGTATTACAGTACTGTAAACAGGATTGCTGCTTTGATTCCATGCTAGTCTGAGGTAAAAACCCAATCACTGTGCAGCAAGGCTGATGAACTTTGAAAAACGATGCCCTAAAATGTACAGTAATCTTAGGACTGCACAGAGGGAAAAGCTGATCCATCATTGAGTCCAGCCTCTGTTAAGGAGGCACAGCGGGGAATTGAACTCCTAGATATCTAAACCACTGAGCTATCCAGCAGCTCCTTTTACGTCATTGCTTCTGCAATGGCAGTCGCTAGTCTAGTGCTAGGGGCTTTAAAAAGTCATTGTTGCCACTGCTACAAATCGCTGACTAAGCCACCAAAGAATAGATAGTCTGACTCTACCCTGCACCCTTGACCAAGAAATCAGCTGCATCTTGAGTGACAAGATTTCGCAAGGCCTCAGTAGCTTTCTGAGAAGGGGAACATAATCTGCTTCCTTTGTGTTCCTTTAATAGTTTTGTAGGAAGATCAGAATAGAAATTACAACTGGATTTCTCTTCCTGTCTTGTCTGGGGAGTCGGAAACACTCTGGCAATAAGCACAAATGCAAACAGTACCACTTGTGTGTGTGCGCGCGCGCGTGTGTGTGCGCGCGCGCGCGTGTGTGTGTGTGGTGGTGGAGGTGTGTGTTGGCAAGGTGAAGTTTTGGGGAATTGCTATGCAGCCACAAATATCATGGGGATGGTGTTAGAAAAGGAGAAAGCAGCAGAGCAGAAAATCTATATGGTCTCCCTCAGTTCTGGAGAATGTGAAAACACAGAATGCTGTACCCATGTAATCCTCTACCCATCGCTTCTGCTAATGGTACTCCGGCCATTCTCATTTAATCTGCAAATGGACTGAACTGAATGTTTTGATAGATGGAGAAGATGGGTCCAAATAATTAGGAAGCCGGTTTGTAAGCATTGCTAATCCGTTTTCTATATGAACGATCACAAATCGGTGAACAGCAGGCACAGTTCAAGATGAGAAAACATTTCTCTGAAGGTGTAACTATGCCATAAGAAAAATGTGAATGGATCCATTGTGAAGTCACGTCTGGGAAGTTGGGTTTCCCTGGACGTCTTTGTTTATTCGGTGGGGGGAAAAGGCATGCACAGAATGTAAAATGTGATGGGCTAGAGATCATTTCCTGCTTTGGAAAAGTATACTTTCACTATTTTTTCTCCACTTTTGGCCTTACGTTTCTGATTTGAATAGAAATTTGGCCCCCAAATGTTGTGGGTGAAATTTTTCCCTATACTGAGATTTAAAAGCTTAAAGAAATCTTCCTACCGCGTTTCTCCCAAAATAAGACAGGGTCTTATATTAATTTTTGTTCCAAAAATGCATTAGGGCTTATTTTCAGGGGAGGTTTTATTTTTTTCATGTACTACAATCTACATGTATTCAAATACAGTCATGTCATCTTCTTCTGGTTGCTGCACAGTGGTGGAGGGTGGGGTTTCTCTTAGCTGGGGCATATTTTGGGCATCCTGAAAAATCCTACTAGGGCTTATTTTCAGGTTAGGTCTTATTTTCGGGGAAACAGGGTAGGTGTGTGTATTTCTAGGCCAAAAAAAACCCACCACTGCACAGTATGTTATTCAGGTGACTTGAAACGTGTGGTTAAATAAGATTCTTTCATTCTGCAGGAAGGATCTACAGGATCGTGACCCAGAACATGCTCTCCACCAAAGCCAGGGGTCCATGCCAGGAATATTCTTCCCCAGGAGAGGTGAATCAGAGCAGAGGGAAGTTTTTGACAGGCAGCCTGGCAGAGATAGATCATGGTCCCATGGCTGTTTTTGCTTCAAAAGAAAACTAGCCAAATTAAGAGTGCTTAAAAAAAAGCTTGAGTAACATAATCTGTAAGTGGTTGTGAGATCAACAGCCTTCATTCTTTTCTAGCTCTCATGCCCAAGCAGAGATGGAAGAGTGTAAAAAGGGTGAAGGAAGCTGGGCATGGAAGCTTCTGCAGTGGAAGGAGGGGGGGGGGAAGCTGGGCATGGAAGCTTCTGCAGTGGCAGGAATGGGGGGGCAGAGTGGTAAGAATATACCAGATGGGCAGGATATAAATCAAATAAATAAATAAATAAATATACATGGGCCGCTTGTTGCACGTGGGCAGAGCCAAGCTGAAGGGCTGTGCGTCCTGCTTTCAGCTGAAACTTGGTTTCATACGGACTGCCAGCAAAGCTTGGGGCATAAGACAAATTCTGCAAAAACTGTCCAGAATTCTTCACCATGGACCATTGCAAGTGTGTGAGAGAGAGAATTTGAGGCCATGCTGTGCTTTTTATGTTAGCATCAACTACACAGGCTTAAAGAAAAAGAAAGGAAGAAAGAAATAAAGCAAGAAAGAAATTCTTCATATACACACAGTGGCTAACAGCCTTGACACTAAAGAAAAAGAAAGGAAGAAAGAAATAAAACAAGAAAGAAATTCTTCATACACACACAGTGGCTAACAGCCTTGGCACTATTTTTTATTTGTTTTTTTGCTAACCTTCCACCTAACTTTTTTGGGAACCACACACTCAAGTTGAGTCACTCTGTTCCGATCTCTCCAGTCCCACTCACACACACCCCGCCTTCCTCCAAGGGCAGGTCTTTTTTCTCTGTCTTTGCACGAGGGATAGCAAAGCACCACTTCCCAGCCTGACATGTTCAGCTGTTCAGCAGGCAGTTCCCCTCAAGGCAGCCCCGTGGTCTCCCTACGTTGGCTTCTCTGAGAGAGACATCACTCCTGCCTACTGCTCCACATACTGAAGCTCACCAAGCATGGGATTTCTACTCCTGCTTTTTTACCTGGGCACAGGTGAGTGACAACCGCAATGGAAAACAAGGCTGTAGGCAAGGGGGTGCTCATTCAGATCTTCCGAGCCTCTAATAAGGAGTCCTTACTTATCAAGTCCAGGTGCAAAACAATAGGTCTATATAGTGGTCAAAATTATTGCTCCCCCCCCCCTCGGCAGTTTATTTGCACCTACCTGAATAGACTTCTTTGTCTGGACGTTATTGGCTCTATTCATGAATCCGGATACAGTAACTTCAGAAAAACACCCTCATTCAGATCTTCCGAGCCTCTAATAAGGAGTCCTTACTTATCAAGTCCAGGTGCAAAACAATAGGTCTATATAGTGGTCAAAATTATTGCTCCCCCCCCCCTCGGCAGTTTATTTGCACCTACCTGAATAGACTTCTTTGTCTGGACGTTATTGGCTCTATTCATGAATCCGGATACAGTAACTTCAGAAAAACACCGTGCATAGTATGGAATGGCATTTTAAAAACAACACCTTCCTGACATTTATTTGCACCTACCTGAATAGACCTCTTTGTCTGGACGTTATCGGCTCTATTCATGATTCCGTATACAGTAACTTCAGAAAAACACTGTGCATAGTAGACCGATTGACCTTGCATTAACCCTGTGTTTTTAGGATAAATATTTTCCCAATTGGACTGAGAAGTCAAGGTGTCATGTCAAGCCAAAGAAATAGACAGTGAGGTGGAATAGTCAGCATTTAATGAGGGTCAAACAGGATTAAAAAACAACAACGAATTAGAGCAAGGATAATTTCCATTGTCAGCATTTAATGAGGGTCAAACAGGATTATTGTTTAAAAAACAACAACGAATTAGAGTAAGGATAATTTCCATTTAATTTCTCCTGTCAGTTCTGTGAAGGAAGATAGTTTGCACATGCTCTGGGTTGCCTTTGATTGTGTTACTGCAAACACATTGAATAGTTTAAGCTCTTGAATTCTGGACAGAACAATGACTAGCTGCATTTGATCCTGGATTATAAATGGCAATAGTTTTGGTGAATTAATATGGAATTTTCCGGACATGTGAGTGCATGCAATGCGTGCAAAGAGTCACGAAGCAGAGGCATATGAGAGTCAAGATGGGCCTTGAGAGTCCATTTATTTCCTGCAGGCCTGATGCCATGGTGTTATGGGTTCAGTGTGGATGAAGAGACCTTAACCATCTTCCGGATGCCAGCTGAGAGCTTTGGGACAAGTGTGGCACAGACTACCAATGCGTAAGCAGAACTAATTTGGGGTCAGGGTTGTTTGAAGGACAAAGAACATCTGAAAGTAGGATTGACATATCTAGGGAAATTACTATATTTCTTTAATTGTCCAGGCGAGGAGACAAATCTGAGGGTGAGTGGCAGGGGAGAAAGAGAGAAGCAACGTTGAAATTTGTCTGCGTCTGATGAACTGGGCTTGATGCATAAAAGGTCAAACTGAAATGTAACAGTCCTTACGTTGTCACAATATTTCTGTTTATTTTTCTTTTCATTTTTTTTGTGTAGATATGGTTTGGACCTGCACAGACTTAACACGGCTCCTTGTTAGAAACGTATAACTTTTATGTGTGGGATTGCTTTTAAAGCTCAGGGGTCCATCTCTGTTCATTCCTCATTAGTATTCTGGCTCAGCACAGGGTTTATATGAATGAAAACAAAACTTTTTATAAAAACAGAAACAAAATGCCCAGAGCCAGTACTGAGGGGGAAAAAAAGAGAAGCGGCAATAAATAACACTGTGTGATAAACAAACAAACAAAAAAGTTGATAAATGTGCAATGCAGTAAAATGCCGAACTATAAAAACCAGTTCCACAAGCTTAACATCTTATTTCCCTCTTTATCACCTGTTGTGGGGTATGAAGATGTTTGCGTATTGCCCCTGGGCAACATGGGCACTTCAAAAGGCCAGGAACAAGGGCTGAGGTGAGAGCCCATGGTATATATAGCTCCGGGGTTGAGGTCTCTGTCTGCAGGGCCTGACGTTGGGAGTTCAGTTTCTCACGGTACCTCCTTGACAGGAGCTGGACTCCATGATCTATCGGGTCGCTTCCAGCTCTGCAGTTCTGAGAGGATGATCACGATGACGACGATAATGTGCTTGGAGTAACTGTGCCAGAAGTAGTTCCACCCCTCGCTCCCAACCCTCGTGTGTCCTGCGTCTGTCCCATTACCACAGCCCATTGCCTTTAAGAGGAACTCAAGACTGCTGACCTGGTGCTTCTAGGTGGAAGTAAGGCACAAAAATAGCCAGGATACTGGGTTCAAAGACTGCCAGGCTCCTGGATGTTCCTCTGGCACCCCCCTTTTGCACCAAAGCTGTTCAGGGTTGATTCATCCCTCACTTTCTGGCATTTTTTCCTAGCAAAATTTCCCAAAGTGGAGTTGCGTGTTCGTTGGCCTGTCACTCCCAGAATCCTCTCAGAATCCTCTCAGCCGTAACTTTTCTTACCCACTTACCATTTTTATCCCTCTGAATTTTACCATCACCACCTCTGAGGTCATTAAGGGACTCCCAGTTTCCTAAAGGATTCTACTGGTTCTCTGTCCTGTGAGGATCTTCCTTTCCAAAGCCCATATTTTTTTAATTGAGAAGTTTCTGGTTTAGTTCTTTAGCACTCTTCTTCAGCCGGAACAGGAGGAGATGCATGAATGCACATTTGTTCATTGTTTTCTTGGCCTCTCCCTTTTCTTGAATCCCTTTGTAGTCTTGAAATCCCTTCTGGCAAGGACCTCAACCACATTCCCACTTCGCTTAACCTGCACCGGAAAGTCTTGTGTCACTACACTGTCTATGCTTTTCTTTCAGGGTGTTCGTTGGGGCCCCCTTCCAGAGGGGAAAAATGAATGAAACGGGTAAACTTTACCAGTGCACCTACCGCACAGGTGCCTGTAAGGAGATTAACATCCAGCGTAAGTTTTAGTGATTCCCAGTCTTCCTAGATGGGCAACCACACCAAAGTCGAGGGTCATTCCTGGCCGAAGGAAGGGAAGGTCAATAGGTTAGAGTGATAAGGCTCTCGGCTGCTGGGAGCTAGAAACTGGGAGCAAGGCTTCCCAGAATGTGGGTTTGAGAATTCAACACAAAGAGGTCAGACGTTTCCATTCATTTGTGAGAGAAAGAAGTAAGAGCTTGTAGGAGGGAAGAAGGAAGCAATGGTGAGACCTGATCCTCAAGGTTTTGAAGAAGTTTTGGGGGAAGGTGAAGTTGTGGTTTTGGCTAGGAGCCATTTCATGTGGTAAAATGATTGGGGATGTAGTTTTTGGAGCTAGAATTCCTGGATTTCCCCCTCCCCCAGAATATTGGTACTGCATACACCCCCGAGAAATTGGGAGTGATTTGATAAAGTAAAATAATGTGCAAGCTTAAACAAATGTTTCGCATTGATATCAGTAGTGAAATGTAGGACTTCTCTCGAAAACCTGTGTGCCTTTTTAATTTAAATCAGTTTTTAAGGTTCTTTGGGCTTAATTGGTAATTTTTTTCCTCGTTACCGTAGGGTTGAACAGTGGTAGGAAATGAGAAGGGAGGTAGGAAGATTCCTCAGAGATTAAAAAAATGATTTGTTTAGTAACTGCTGCTCTGGAGACAACAAGCTTTTTTTGGGTTTGAATATAGAGCCAAGAGGCTATAAACACAAAGTACTGTTATAATAATAATCAATCATCTCAGCTTTGTTATTTCTTACAGCACCCACAGATGCTGTCAATATGTCCCTTGGTTTGTCGTTGACTGCCCGTGATGATCAGGTCCTGGTAGGTGTATAAAAGTTCATTTTTAATTTGCTTATTGATTAATTAATGACTGGAGCCCTGTTTGCTCTGCTCTGCTTGCATAAGGCTGGTATGTCATCAGCCAGAGACTTTGCTTTTCAATTTAAAGTTTCCAAATCAAACCCATCCACTCCACCCATACAGTTTCCTAGGCTCCCTTTGAACCTAGCGAAAACTGGGAGTCACAGCAGGGAGAGAGGTGAGAAGTCTTTAAAATCTGAAAATTATCAGTGCTGTATCCTCTGTGATAGACATATCTTTTCAAAGATTAAAGACTCCCCCCGTGGCCAGGCTTCCAAAGGCTTCCCCTGGTGGAGGGGAGGCTTGGAATTTGAAAGGGTGGGGTTGAACAGGAAAATTTTAATTTCTGAGTATGGCCTTTCAACCTCTCAATGAGGGTGAAAGAGGAGAGCGCAAAAAATGGTCTGAAGCTCAACATCAAAAAAAACTAAGATCATAACCACTGGTCCCATCACCTCCTGGCAGATAGAAGGGAAAGGCAGTGACAGATTTTACTGCTCCCTGATCACTGCAGATGGTGACAGCAGCCACAAAATTAAAAGACCCCTGCTTCTTGGGTGGAAAGTGATGACAAACCTAAACAGCATCTTAAAAAGCAGAGACATCACCTTGCCGACAAAGGTCCGCATTGTCAAAGCTATGGTTTTTCCAGTAGCAATGTATGGAAGTGAGAACTGGACCATAAAGAAGGTTGACCGCCAAAGAATTGGTGCTTTTGAATTGTGGTGCTGGAGGAGACTCTTGAGAGTCCCCGGGACTGCAAGGAGAACAAACCTATTCATTCTGAAGGAAATCAACCCTGAGTGCTCACGGGAAGGACAGATCCTGAAGCTGAGGCTCCAGTACTTTGGCCATCTCATGAGAAGACTCCCTGGAAAAGCCCCTCATGTAGGGAAAGTGTGAAGGCAAGAGGAGAAGGGGACGACAGAGGACGAGATGGATGGACGGTGTCATCGAAGCTACCAACATGAATTTGACCAAACTCCGGGAGGCAGTGTAAGACAGGAGGGCCTGGCGTGCTCTGGTCCATGGAGTCACGAAGAGTCGGACACGACTGAATGACTAAACAACAACAATGGAAAATTTATAACTCTGCTTAATTTTACAAAACTACAATTGTATGTATTTTATATTGTTCTGGTTTCACTGGTCTTTAACCATAATAAAGTTACACAAAAAAAGAGATGAACTCTGGCCCCTCGTGAGGTACCCGCGGTTAAGATGCAGCAAGTGACACAAATCTTACACTAAAACAAATAAAGTTCTGGCCTGTGGCCCTCAATTTTTCTTAATCAAGGATGTCTCTGTGTTGAGCTAGAATCTCCTTCCGCCACCTGATTCGGCTCTAGACTCACAGTCCCTGACTCACTCAGGATTGCCTTTACCATTAGGCCAAGTGCAATGATTATGACCACTCACACCTCATTTGTGATGTCATAGCAGTATTGCAAATGAATTATAGTCGGACCCCTATGTCCGGTTTCAAGCAGATTATAACAAACACTATTATAATTGAAAACATTATACATATCACTGTCCCTTGCTCCCTCTAGTGGCCAGGTCTGGTAACTTCATGATTGCAAATACTACCGTATTTTTCTTTTAATACTTTTAATATTCTCAGACCATGGATACGTGAATCAGTGGATATTGATCCCACAAATATGAGAGTTCTGCTGTACTTTATTTCTTCTATGTGTATTTTTGCTGCCAGGGAGAGGGTGCTGTTTTATGCCTTGTGGGCCAAAATGACTTAGCCAGCCTTGAGTTCTATCTACGCTGGTCGACCTTGGGATTGGGAGGATGCTATTTGCTCTTCTGCCTCAGGCAGCAAAATGTCTCTATCTGGTTTTGCCTTGAGGTGCAACGGGATACGATTCTGCCAGTATAGCCTCCGCCAACACAACAGTTCTTACTCTGTGTTGCCATTTAAGGTTTGTGGTCCCACACTGCACCGAGCCTGTGGACAGAACATGTTTGTGAATGGCTACTGTTTCTTTCTGGACCACAATCTGCAACAGAACTTGCGCTTTCCAGAGAAATTGCCAGGTAAGATTTTGAGAAGGAAGGATTTAGGGCCTCATTAGGCGAGGTTGGGAATGTAAATCTTCATTCTCACATAGGAGAAGGAAAAATGGCAAAAGTTATCTCTCCCCTTACATGGAATAAAAGATTATTTGCGAGTTTTTCACATTTTGGCAACTGCTTGATGATGTGCATCTTCTTATGTCCACCCCTAGAATGCACTGTCCATCCAACGGACATCGTCTTCTTGATAGATGGCTCAGGAAGCATCGACAGCAATGATTTTGAAACAATGAAGCGGTTTGTTTCCGAGATCATCCAGAGACTCTCTGGCAAAGATACACGGGTAATGTGCATTTTGGGAGTACTGTTGCAGGTCAGCATTGGCCCATTCTGTCATGATCTGGGCTAATATCAGGGAGGGGGACTCCAGTCAAGGGACTTGATGTCAGGTCAGACATAAGTCGCACTCGTGAGTCGTGACTTGACTCAGACTTAACTTGGGTTTCCCCCCCCCCCCATGACTTGGTTTTGACGTGACTTGGAACACACCCAACCCCTTCCTTTCTCCTGAGGACTTGGAGCTTGGGCCATGGGATTTAGTGCCAAAGACTCAAACTCAGACTTGGTACCAAAGACTTGGACTTGGACCCTAAGACCTGTTGCAGGTCAGCATTGGCCCATTCTGTCATGATCTGGGCGAGTATCGGGATGGGGACTCCAGTCAAGGGACTTGATGTCAGGTCAGACTTAAGTCACACTCGTGAGTCGTGACTTGACTCAGACTTGACTTGGGTCCCCCCCCCCATGACTTGGATTTGACTTGTGACTTGGAACAGACCCAACCCCTTCCTTTCTTCAGAGGACGGAGCTTGGGTCATGGGATTTAGTGCCAAAGACTCAAACTCAGACTTGGTACCAAAGACTTGGACTTGGACCCTAAGCTTTGCTAGCACCCCTTGGACCCTAAGACTTGTCCATGAACTTGGACCCTAAGGCTTGCTAGCATCCCTTGGATCCAAAGACGTGGACTTGGACCCTAAGACTTGCTAGCATCCCTTGGACCCTAAGACTTGCTCATTGCTTAGGGTCCCTTGGACCTTAAGACTTGCCCATGGACTTGGACCCTAAGACTTGTGTATTGAAGATCTCCTGCACCAGTGGTATAGGTCAGTGGGTTGGAGCATCTGACTATAGAGCCAGGGATCAGTTCAGGTCCCGCTCCCAGGAGAGGGGGAAACTAAGATCCCCTGGCGTGTCTTTGGCCGATGAGTCACGCTTGAGATTTTTTTTTTTTGAAAACTGCCTCAAAAACACATGTTTTTATTAAAAGGTGCATTTCAGGTTTGAATATTGAAAATAGGTGTGATTTGAATTCATAGGAATCTTTTGTTTGGTTCTAGAAAGAATCTGCGTGATGTTGATTTCAGAGGAAGGAATGTTTGGAAAGTTTGTGTGAAGTACCACACACATTTTCTCCTCCTGTCAATTGGATCCACACAGCGCGACATGCATAGAGTAACACTGTTTTCTTATCTCCTTGTGTCAGTTTGCTCTCATGCAGTTCTCTGATGAATTCAGGGAACACTTCAATTTCAACAGTAGAGACCCAGCGCGCCACGTGTTGGATATCGATCAGATTGGTGGATGGACCCACACAGCCACAGCCATCCGGAAAGTTCTGTATGTCTCTGGAGAACAGCTTGTTTTTCTCTTTTGCTTTTGTGTGGCGTTCTCTCTGTTGCCATCCCTTAGAACCAGTGTCTCCCAGCCTTGGGCAAATGAACTGTCCTTGAACTGCAACTCCCAGAAGCCTTTTAACCGCCAGCTGTGCTGGCTGGAGTTTCTGGGAGTTGCAGTCCAAGAACATCTGGCTCACCCAAGGTTGAGAACCACTGCCTTAGCTGAACTGACAACCTGGTTACATGAGGGAAATATTTTCTAGTTCTTCTGTTGCTTTCCATACCTCCACTATATTTAATGGTAGTCACATGACTTATATCCTGGGACAAACGTCCCAAGAACTTTTAGCGGTACACATTTGTTTCCTCTTATTTGAATCGTTAAGGCAGTGTACACCAGTGATCCCCAACCTTGGGTCTCCAGATGTTCTTGGACTTCCACTGCCAGAAATCCTGGCCAGCGGAGGTGGTGGTGAAGGCTTCTGGGAGTTGTTGTCCAAAAACATCTGGAGGCCCAAGGTTGGGGGCCACTGGTCTACACCATGGTCCATCAATATATCAGGAACAAGGTTCCCTCTAAAGTGTGCACACAATGGAGATGGGATATCCATGTGGCTGTACGGGCCACAATCACAAACCCCGGTTACATTGGCATACCAGTGGTTCAATGTATGTTCCCATAGAAATTTTTAAAATTATTATTCGCCAATCAACTCATGGCAGTGATGTATTTTTTTACCAATGTATGGATGTATCGGGTACGAAGAATACAAAAAGCACACTCCAGGAATGGTGTCCACGTTCCTGGCTTCTGAAAAAAAAGCGGGGCATAATGTGCAGATGGGCCATTGTGGGTAAGGACTGCAACAATACAACAAAGGTACAAAATAACACAACCCTCCTAGCATGGGGAAATGTTCCGCAGTTTGACCGCTGGCTTGGAAAATGTCTGGAACTTGACTCTGCGTCGTATGACTGGGGGGAAAAAAAAATCAAGGAACTAACTGGGGCATAACTAGAGAACATTTTCCTCCCTTGAACAGGGCCTGAATCCCCCTCTTTTTTCTTCTCAAGGAGGGAACTATTCACCCCACAGAAAGGATCTCGGAAGGGAGCCAACAAGATTCTTATTGTGATCACGGATGGGCAGAAGACGGATTACCTCCAATACGGGCAAGTCATACCAGAGGCAGAGCAAGCTGCGATCATCCGCTATGCTATTGGGGTGAGCAGAAAGGCAGGAGTCTCTGCGAAGAAAATGAGCCAGACTTTGTCAGCTTAAAAGCATATTAAAAGCATATTCAGGAGCAGCTGTTTGCCTGGCTATGTAAAACTGATTGTGATGCTTAGATACAAATTGCCCCAACCCCCAGCAAGATAGGTACTCAGTTTGCCGCCCTCGGAAGTATGGAAAGCTGAGTGACTGTCAAGCCGATGACGTGGGATTGTACCCAGATCGTGAGCAGAGTTTTGGCTGCAATCTTGCAGTTTAACCACCGTGTCATGCATGAGCCTCCTTGTATGTCTGTTTACATCCATCCATATAATTCCATTTGCATATAATTTCATTTCGAAATGAAATCTGTCACTCAGTTCTTGCACCTCCCCACTCCGTCCCCTTCAATAGATAATGCTGAGCTACATGTTCAAAATTTTAGTGTTTTACTTGGGTACCTATTTTTATTTATTTATCTAAAATATTTTTAACTCCGCCTTTCTTCTGAAAAAGGACCCAAAGAGGCTTACACCCTTAAAAGAAAAACAACATCTGAAAGCGAAAACAGTAAATTATACAGATATTTTTAAAAATTAAATAAACGTTATATTTAAAACATTATGCAAAAACTTTACTACAACAGATGTCAAAACAACAAAAATATAAACCATCCCATTTTAAGGCTCCCCTCAGACAGATAGTCACTCAAGGAAAGCTTGCCGGAAGAGAAAGGTCTTCTGCTTGTGGAAGGAGAGCAAGGATGGGGCCTGGCTGGCCTCCAGTGGGAGGGAGGGTCTAAGACCAGCAACAGGTCCTCTCCTGTATCCCACTAAATGCACCTGTGAGGGTGGTGGAACCAAGAAGAAGGCCTACCCCTCTTAATAGCAGGGTAGGCTCATAAAGGGAGACACAGTCTTTGAGATAGCTAGTTAGAGCTCTATAGTTTAGAACCAGCACTTTGAATTGTGCCCGGAAACAGATGGTAGCCAGTCCCAGTTAACAATCTGGCAGCAGTGTGTGTGTCAATAGACCCTCTTAGATAAAATTGGTGAGACTATCATTTCTTTCTCCTCATGAAAGGTTGGCAGCGCTTTTTCAAGCCGCAGTGCCAGGCAGGAATTGAGCGACATGGCTTCCAAACCTGATAGCGAACATGTCTTCACCGTGTACAATTTCAATGCCCTCCGAGGCATCCAGGACCAGCTGCAGGACAAAATCTTTGCCATTGAAGGTACCAGCCGAGGGTCGAGGGAAACAACCTCTCTAACGTCTCCACCTGCTATTTCCACTCTCCCTTCCTGATGGTGGTTCAAGAACACATTTCCCCCACATTATATTTCAAGGCTGACTTCACCTTTGCAGTGTATCTTTTAAAGTGGAGAAGAAAAATAATTACGCTTTGCTTTTCTCTTGGGTTTTAGTGAGTCCATTGATTTGAACATCGTTCTTATTTAGGATCAGCTGTAGAGCAGTAACTCACGCAAAGACACAACATACCATATTTTCCGTGTATAGGACGCCCCCATGTATTAGATGCCCCCTCTAAGTGGGGCTTAGCACATGTAGAGGGAAAGTGATCAAAGTGCTGCAGGATAGCTTTCATCCCTGCTTTCCCCTCCACTTGTTTTTGTTCTCTCCTCAGCTTACTTCCGTGTATAAGACAACCCTCAATTTTTAGTCTAAAGATTTTAGACAAAAGTATAGTCGTATACACAGAAAAATATGGTACATCTTCCTCTGGAAGCAGGTTACCCCATGCTGGTGCCTGGAGGATGTCTGAATAACCTAACCAGGCCCAACTCAGCAATGTAATAAAATCTCCCAATTTCAGGAAAATATGTTTGGAAACGTTAAAGATCAGAACAATGAATGAAATTAGAAAGCAGGACCCCCATATCTGCAGGATCAGCATCTGCTGATTCACTTATCCACAGTCTGAAAATGTTAAAAATATATTTTTAAAAATCCTAGAAATATATATTTCTAAAGATTAAGTTACCAGAACTGGCCACTAGAGGGAGACAAAGAGCATGCTATGTATAACATCCACTGTAATCTGTGTTTGTCTGTAGGGGGAGGGGCTCGGAACCAATCCTCGGTGGATAGAGGGATCATACTGAGTAGCAGGTAGATTCATGCCATGGGTAGCTTCATGCAGTGGATATTTCTGTTTTAATTAGTTCTTGTACACCTCTCCCCAAAATTCAGGTTCTGGCACACAGGTGCCTGGCTCCCATTGTCATGTAAAATGTGTTGAGGCTCAGTACTACCATTTCAGCCTGGTTTTGTTTCTAAACATCAGTGAAGTCTGAATTGGATTAGTCTTTGTACAGGAGGACCCCTATATCCACAGGATCAGTATCTGCTGATTCACTTATCCACAGTCTGAAAATATTTTAAAAAAATTTTTAAATCCTAGAAATGTATATTTCTAAAGTTGAAGTTACCAGAACTGGTCACTAGAGGGAACCAGAGACCATGCTATGTATAGCATTGGCTATATTCCTTTTCTTGAATTGATCCCCCATGGATATGGGGGCTTCTACTGTACTGGATCCCAAACAGGTTCAGGCAGAGTAACCATCAAGAATTAAACTGTGGGATTGAATTTTCATTGCATCCTTTAATTGTAATATCTGATCTTCACTAGGTGCTTTTTCTCTCCACGACCCCTTGTTTGTCTATATCCTAACTACTTTCTTCTCTGCAGGTACACAATACCAGAGCAGCAGTTCCTTTCAGATGGAAATGTCTCAGGAAGGATTCAGTGCCCTCCTGACCCCAGTGAGTGACTTCGTCCCCAGAGCATTGAAAAATGTTGTTAAAAAGAACTGCAACACTGCAGTTATACATAACACAAAGCACTGATTTTGCCTCTAGGATCACAGGAAGTTTGGAATGGGCGAGTCCTGTGTTCCAAAGGAAACTAGGACAGTGGACTCAGCTTGGATTTGAGGCTATTAAATATTACACCGCATCAAAATGTACATCATTTAAACATTGGATCCCCATGGGTCTGTGTCTTATCTGTACATCAGCTGGGATCATGTTGAAACTCTCTTTCGGATGCCTCTCGTATTTACAGTAGGAACAGATTTTCTGGTGGGGGCAGCCTAAATGAAAACAGTCTTTTTGAACCTCTTGAGAATCACTGCAGGACAAAATGCATGGCACCTCAAGAAGCACAAGCTAAATATGCGCCAACAGTGTGATGTCGCTTCAAAAAAAGGCAAATGTTGTTTTAAGCTGCATTAATAAGTATACAGTAGTTTCCAAATCCCTCAAGGTGCTAGTCCCCCTTTATTCAGCACTGTTTAGGCCTCACCTTGAGTATTGTGTCCAGTTCTGGACACCACACTTCAAGAAGGATGCTGACAAATTGGAAAAGGTTCAGAGGAGGGCTACCAGGATAATCAGGGGGCTGGAAACCAAGCCTTATGAGGAAAGGCTGAAAGAATTGGGCATGTTTAGCCTTGAGAAAAGAAGGCTGAGGGGTGATATGATAGCACTTTCCAAATATTTGAAAGGCTGTCATACAGTGGAGGGGCAAGGTCTGTTCTCAATCCTCCCAGAGTACAGGACAATGGGCTGAAGTTAAAGGAAGCCAGATTTTGGTTGAATATCAGAAGAAACTTCCTAACTGTTAGAGCAGTACAACAGTGGAACCAGTTACCTTGGGAGTTGGTGAGTGCTCCAAGACTGGAGGCATTCAAGAAAAACTTAATCACTTGGCAGATATCCTTTGATTGTATTCCTGCATGGAGCAGGGGGTTGGACTTGATGGCCTTGTAGGTCCCTTCCAACTTCACTTTTCTATGATTCCATGATAATCTGAACATTTGCAAGGGCCATGGGGTGTTTTAGAGAAAAAGTGTTCACAAAGCCTCATGGCTGAACTGTACAAGAAAAAAAGATATGTACCAACACACCGGAATAAATGGCAAAAAATATTGCATAATTAAGCGTGCCTCTTGAGCAAAATGCCTAACACATGCAGATGCTTCCATGTGAAACATCACAACAACAACAACACTGCAACTTGATAACAAAACAGGGATGGAAAGAAAATGCAGGATTCCAAAAAACACAACAGAATCAACACAGAGAGATGCTTGCGTCCCTAATCTATTGTCATGGTGACTATAGCTCCTGTGCAGAAACTGAATGACTGCATGTTTAAGTTTTCGTGCTGTTCTGAAAGCTTCCTTTTATGATTTAGGAAGGGTCTGTCCTGGGAGCTGTGGGTTCGAATGACTGGTCCGGAGGGGTGTTGATTTATCAGAACAACAACAGAAACCCGAAATTTATTAATGTTTCTGACACGGCTGGGGATATGGAGAATGCCTATCTTGGTAAGCAGGAAATATCTCACCCTCCAAAACACAAACCTTTCCCTCTGTCTTTCCTGCTCTACTACCCCTGTCTATTTCTACCCTAGATGCCACTGCATTTCTTTGGAACCCCTGTCCTCTCCTTACATATAATTAATATCGTGCTTCCCCCCAAAATAAGATGGGGTCTTATATTAATTTTTGCTCCAAAAAAACTCATTAGGGCTTATTTCCAGTGGATATTTTATTTTTTCCATGTAGAACCATCTACACTGATTCAAATACAGTCATGTCATCTTCTGTCTACTGTACAACGGTGGAGGGCGCGGTTTCACTAAACTGAGGCTTATTTTGGGGGTAGAGCTTAGATTACGAGCATCATGAAAAATCATTCTAGGGCTTATTTTCAGGTTTGGTCTTATTTTTGGGGGAACAGGGTAGAATTATTAGTAACAATAATGTCAACAACTACAGTAGATCCCCCCCCCAAAAAAACCCTTTAGGCTGAGACCAAACTATGGATAAATGCAGTGGCCTTTGCACCTTTCGTAGGAGAGAATGTTTCTTCTACGTCATTGGGGATTCTAGACTGCAGAGCTTCAGAATCAACTCAATAATGGCTGTGCTAAATGACGATGTATCGTCACGTTAACATCATATGCCATGTTTGTATCTTTTGGCTTTTTCATCTCCCCCTTAGGCTATTCTTCACAGTTTGTCCAGCTCCGTGGCAGAAGTGGCCTGGTGGTGGGAGCCCCCCGTTACAAGTATGTTGGGAAAATAGTGCTGTTTGAGAAGCAGACCCGGCGTGGGAGATGGCAGCTGAAAACAGAGGCCGTGGGAGAACAGGTACGGCTGCAATGAGGGAGACACTGGTGACACTGGAAGGCTGAAGAGAAATTGTCTAGGTAGGGAAAGAAAATGAAGAGGGTGTAAAGGGTGCGGGAGTTTATGGGTTAGTTCTTCTGGTGGCCGTGAGAGATTCCTCCTTCTGATCAATCAAAAGCATCCGCCTGCCGCCATCTAGAAGGATTTGTATTCTTTAGACGCCAAACAGATCTCCCTGGTGCATCTCCTAGATCAGGGATGAGCAAGTTGTGGCCCCATTTATGTTGCTGGATTGGAACATCCCACACCATTGGTTATACCAGTTCAGACTGACAGAAGCTCCAACCCAACAACTTCTGAAAGACCACAAGTTACCGACTCCTGTGCTAGATTTTTGCTAATCCTTTGGTTTTAGACCTAGAATTAAAACTGTTGCACAATGTCCTGGTATAATTCCTTTTGGCCACACAGTCGAAGTACAACAGAGCAAAATAGCTACACATTTCCTGGAGTCCACCCTTTTCTCATTCACTGGTGCTTAAAGTCCCAATAGCTCACTCTGAGACATTTATAGGCAAAAGAGTAAAAAAGAAACCACTACCCATGATTGCTTGAAATTACAGACTTGTGTATGCTGCTTTCTTTACTTCACTCATGTTTAGCAGCCAACTGAACAGATCAACAGCAAACAAACAACTGGCACCAACAGATTAAAGAGGAGGAAAGAACTTGCAGCAGAGAGGAAGGGCTCTCTTTGAAATCAAAGGCCCGTACGGATTGGTTAATGCTGGATCAACCATCACCTCAGTCCAGAGAAGTCCCTCCCAGTCACACAAATTACAGACAGCATGCAAGGTTGCGAATAAAACTCCACCCCTGCCTTGGTTAGCTTTGTGGAAGGCCTATTCGAGGAGAGAAAGAGAGGAAGTCCTGCTAGTTCTCCTGGATATCTCAGTGGATTTCACTGCTACTGACCAGGGTTTCTGTCACATTGTCTCATTTTAGCTTCAAAATAGTAATCTGCAAACTTTATATATATTTAAATAAATAAAAAGGATGAAAATAGGTTGTTCCTCTGATGTTATAGGTTGGTGCGTATTTTGGAGCGACCTTGTGCTCAGTGGACCTTGATCAAGATACAAACACGGACCTGGTTCTGGTCGGAGCCCCCATGTACTATGATGGTGCAAAAGGAGGAAGAGTTTATGTCTGTCATTTTCAGGTTAGAGAAAAGCTGTTAGTGCATTTGGGCCCCTGTTCATTTGTGCATCAATGAGAGAGAGAGAGAGAGAGAGAGAGAGTCAAGTTTACAGTTTGGGTGGGGAAAAATGGTTCCCAAGAATTTGGGGACAAAAGATGACGGGTGGGGCTCAATTATGGCTAGAAGCCACACATTCTGGAAACCCTGCCAGTAATTCGGGTTTTGTTTTGCATTTTTGAGGGGTTGTGGTTAATGAGAGTTAATTAGGGAAAGGAATCTTACACCGTTTGGGTATTTTTGATGGTCGAACCTTGGCACATTGATTCCTCACCGTGCTGTTTTTTTCCCAGCACATCATTTCAGACAATACAGGCTGCTGGATTTGAAGGTTTAAGGAAAGTGAAAAACACAAATACTACATTTAGAAATAAGTCCATAACATCATTGCTTGTTGGTGAACAGCTTATTATACTTTATATCTAGACCAAATCAGTGCTTCTGAAAACAGAATCTTTGAAATTCAAGGAAAATTGGGGTGTGAAACAATGAATATTTGTGTATGCCTCCAATGAAACTGGTTTATAAGAGAAAAAACTTGTTAACTGTTAGAGCAGTATGACAATGGAGCCAATGACCTCAGGAGGTGGTGAGCACTCCAACGCTCGAGGCATTCAGGAGACAATTGGACAATCATCTGTCTGATTTGGTTTTGTTTCAGATTCCTGCACTGAGCAAGAAATCGAACCTGGTGGCCTTATCGTCCCCTTCCAACTCAATTATTCTGCGATAACCTTGTTTCCTTCTCCTGAGGGAATCCTGGGAATTGTAGTTTTGTGAAGGGATAGGATGTCTAACATCATTTTTTAGAAGCCTCCCTATATATAGATTTACTAGAATTCTTTGCAGGGATGATGACGGTCAAGAGGGACATAAAACCCATAAAAAGATTCATAAGGGAAAGATGCCCAGTGATATGAAGTGAACGGTTTTAGACTGAGGTGGAATTTGCTTAACATTCATTTTTCCTTGTCTGGTGTTTGTTGATTCCCTGATACAGGAGGAAGCACTTCATTGTTACACAACTTTGGAAGGGCAGAGGGGACACATTTTTGGTCGTTTTGGGGCCAGCATTGCTGCAGTCGGTGACATCACTGGGGATGTATGGGCAGATGTGGCCATCGGGGCTCCCCTGGAGGATGAGAATGCAGGAGCTGTGTATCTTTTTGCAGGAAAGCAGACGTCAATCAACCCACAATATATCCAGGTGAGCTGAGCACCGGCTTCTTGTCCATAAAGAGTTTTGACACTCTATTTCAGTGGTTCCCATGTAATACGGCTTCCTCCTGTCACTCTTACGCCTGACCGAATCTTGAACAGAGGATACAGTTCCGTAGCACGCCACCATTTTATTGTCCAAACAAAACTTTAACACCTTCCAGTTTGTAAATGTGTGTACAGTTCCTGCACAAAGCCTCC